TAATTTCCCTCGTGGACCGTCCGGTGGCGAAATGGTTGGCGCGTCGCGCAGCTGCACCACAGGTCCGGGGTTCGATCCCCGGGTTGAGCAAGGCTAACTCAGCCTTTCATCCTTTAAGTGGATTGATAAAATGAGTACCTTGGGGACTAAACACCGCGGATCCTGCGACAAGCTGTCCATGGCATATGCTGATGCACTCCGGGCTTCAAGGTCAAGAAAGCAGATTTCGAGCCACTACCGGCTGTTGCGCCACTGAGTTAATTTTTTTTTTTTTTTTTTTTTTAAGGTAATCCCCCTCATGAATAATCGTAGCATTGCCATGCAAGGTGACTAAGCAAAAATAACCTACCCTGACCACGAAACTCTTCAGTGACAACGAATAAAAATACGTCTGTCGGTCCTACCCTAAGATTCTTTCATCGAACAGGGATCATTCCGCATGAATTTCTAGGACGGAAGCCTCCTGCGTGGAGTACTAGGCTGTTGCCAACGACAGGCGTATCTTGCGCTCCTTGCCACAAGCAATTTCGTGGGCTTGGGATGACTGTAGGTCAGACAAGTGAGCATTAGTCAACAACAACAACAAAGCTTAGATTTTAAGGGGCATTAAATGCATCCTGTGATTCGTTTATCCCTTATAAATGCAACGAAAGAATGCCGTGCTTAGGGTTCCCGACTAACTCTACCGTTAGCGACATACATAAGTTTTTATCCTCCGGTATTCGTTGGGATATGAAAAATATTTCACGGTTCTCTCCAAAGCAAAGTGTTTCATAAGACAACCCTGATTTAATGCTAACGAACCGTTCATGCACATCCGGTTGAAAAACGTTTTTACGTCGAGAGCACTTTTGAGATGAAGGGCAAGGAGACCAGAGGAGACCTTGGCTGAGTGCGTTTGCATTTGCCTTCGCAGCGCGACGGCACACAGAGAAAAAACGATAGGCCTGTTTCGCGCTACTTCTTCCTCTTCACCTTCGTACCACTTTCTTTTCCTTTCCATGTTTTTATAATCTTGCTGGAAAGTTCCAGCTTTCATTATAACAAAGAACGACGAGTTTATTTTCTTTCGGAGAGAGCGGCAGAAAAGTGAAACAGAAAGAAGGAAAAGTTTTTCCATTATTCTTTTTCAGTCTTTTGTTCTAGGGAAAGTGAAGTTTTAACGCACAAAAACCTTTTTGTTCGGCACACGATACACAGCTTGAAGCTAAGCGCGCTGAAAAAAATCATCTGGAACAAGAAAATTGAACTTGACTGGCAATCTGAGAAAGGGAAGCAGGGAGGAGAAGCTTTCAGTTTCTATTATTCCCTCCCCCCGTTTCCCCGATTTAAGATTACTATTCGATGGATGAGAATACTTTATGATAAAATAATTTCTCGCTTCTGTTTGTTTAGCTTAAAAGAAGTTTCAGGTTTGATTTATTTTATAAAAGATACGCTTCACGTGTTCTTTATTTGGGGGAAGGAGACGTCCCTATTTTAAAACACTTGGTATTCCCCCCCTTTCTCCTTTCATTTATTTATTTTAAAATTCTTTTAATGCCAGCAGCGCAAAGATATTGAGTCAAGAATGACAAAGGAAAGTTAGAACAAATTATCTTCTTTCCGTTAAGAATTTAAATTTTTTTGGAAGTAGCTTTTTTTTTTTTTTTAAGTTGACGTTTTTTTAAGCAACTGCAATAAAAACCTTTTTGAAAGCGTTTATTGTTTTCTGTTCGTGAATTTATTATTCTGATAAAATAATTCAAAATATGACCGTTGCAAGCCTTGTGCACAAGCTTCTCAATGAAAATTAATGCATAACTACATTTCGATAATTAAGTATATTCTTTATTAAATAAATATACCAGTGTTTACATGGCATTAATTTGCGATGAAATAATATCATAAAATATTTTCTTTTTAAATTTTAGGGTATAGTTTAGTTTATGTGATTACGGCAAAGCCTCGAGGGCTATCTACCTAAGGGAAAGGATGCCTTCGTGAAGGACTTTCAAAAGGAAACTGTCTCGTATACACGTTACACATGGGGAAAACCACGAAAACACCTACGCAGCCAGCACGTTCTCCAAGTCGGAATAGTAAATTTTAATTTATAAGAAATATTCAACTTCCATTTTAATTTGAACTGTAGAAGAAATATTCGTAATTTTTTCCCTTTGACACGTATGAAAATAATTCAGTTTAAATTTTATTTCTTAGAGTAAAATTTAAAAATTCTTTAAAAATACATTTTAAAATTATTTTCTCAAGAACTGTTTTTTTAACATGTCGACTAAAAAAAAAAAAAAAAAAAAAAAAAAAAAAAATGAAAGCTTTTTAGATTTTATATTACGCCCAGATTATTATATTCAGATTTTATATTACGATTATTATTATTATTAGATTTTATATTACAAATTTTTAACTTTTTGTTACAAATTGTTAACCTTTATTTATTAAATATCATGCTCTTCGCACTTAAACTATAAAATTGAATTCAACAGCAATATTCCAAAATATTTAAAAGAGCGTATCTTTAGAATTTCCGATACACACTCTTGTGCGCTGGAGATAATTTTTTTTTTTCCTTTTCTTTTTCTTTCCCCCTTTTTTTTGTGCTTTTTGTGTGTATGTGTGTAATGTGTTGCTGTTGTTCGCTTTGAAATTGTTGAGTTTCTTAATCAAAACTATATCAGTGCTTTACAAAATATGAAATAGATAATAAAATAAATTCCAAATTAGGGCTTTCAGACGCCCATATTCGGTGGAGGATTGCGTTATTCAAAATTGGATGGCTCTAGGTACCGTCGTTTTATCTTAATGCGAGAAACATACATACATTTATGCAGATTCTTCATTATTTAATTTCTTTAAATATAACACAGGGCGATAATATTTGGTGGCAATAATTTGAAAAGTAAAATGGATATTCAAAGTTTTCGACACAAAATGTCAAAATGAAACCACCGAAGCCGATTATAAAGCTACAGTTGATAAATTCAAGAAAGCACAGATTAGTTTTCATACGTACCAAATTTCCTCAGCCTCTTCAATTAAAGTTTTACTTAAGAATATCCCAAGATCCTACACAGAGCAAGCAATTCACGCAGACTTAGAACGCAGAAGCTTCCCTATAATTAAAGTAAAGCAATTCACAAAGAAAGCAGAAGACCAAATTATCCATTTACCTATATTTTTCCTTGAACTAAAAAGAAATTCTGCAGGAGAGAAAATTAATTATTTAAACAATATGTTCGGATTCAATATCACAATAGAAAAATATCAGCCCAGAAAACGCCCAATTCAATGTTTCAACTGCCAAGAGTTCGGGCACTCCCAAAATAACTGCTTTAAAAAGGTCAGGTGCTGTAAGTGCGGACAAAATCACAGATCCAATACCTGTAAATTAAAACCAGATGAAAAACCAACTTGCATTTACTGTCACGAAAATCACGTTTCTTCTTATCGTGGTTGTAAGGTATACAGAAAAAGATTCAATCATTTAGAGAAGAAAGAAAAACCACAAGAAATTCCCACTAAAGATGACTTCCCCGAATTTATTCAAGCTTCAGGCCAAACTAATCATGAAATGTCTAAAAACCTTTACAGTGACAAAGTTAAGCAGAAAAACCCGCAGGAAAATTTAGCAGAAATCATTAACATTTTCAAAGATCAGAAAACCCTCTTTCTCATGAAATCAATAACCACAATAGTTCAGAGAATTAAATCAGCTAAATCAAATATGCAGAAACTTTGCCTAGCTTTTCAAGTCATTGAGATGATTCTGAACTTTGTAGATAAAGATTAATTCGCAGTTTCTCTCAAGACAAGCATAGCCGAGCGGCAGAAATTTCTCAAGTTGCAGATCCTCCCACATCGTGGGGCCATGTTTACTTCTCTTCTAGAGACTCTGCACTAGGTGCAAAAAGTAGGAGAAGAATTACAATGGAAAAAGCAGCTACTACAACCTGCTGCATCTCAGTTAAGTTTCCGCATCACTTCTAATTGCAATCCCTAATTCTGCAGTTTATCAATAAAAGAATCGGCCAGTTTAGCTTTTCCTTTCAATTCAGGAGCGGAGTTTTTTACTTTTCGTAGTCTACTACCAACCCTTTTCTATACATGTCCAATGCATTCCAGTTTCTTGACCGAATATTTACCGTATATATCTTCAGTATATCTTTCACAATTAAAAACCCCTTAGAATCCCCATCCTTCGTAATATACTCCGTGTACTTCAGCTTTCGTAATGTAATAAGTCATTCAAAAAGCGCATAAGCGCCAACTGCTTCCATACCCGAGGCTGCTTCTTTATAATTTGCAGAACAATTATGTTACGCTTTACATATGTCGTGCTGAAGATTGCATTCCATTCTGTTTATTTTGTTGCAAATGATGCAAAAATGTGACATAGCTTTCAAATCAAGCACTTTGTCAACGCTAATCGACAAAGCAGCAACACATCCATTCAACGTCGAATACCCTCTGCGCCAAACTAAATACGAAATTAAGGGAAAAACTATCGCCAGATTCTTAAAATGTATTACAAAATATCTAAACTTAGTACGAAAATTTATAATTTATAAAATCTTGATAATAAATACGGTTTCTTAATAGGTATATCTATTTAAACGCTCACTTCCGGCCAGAATATTGGAACTTCCGGTTTATTCTGTTACAGAAAAATGCTTATAACTTCAGTTCTAATTAACCTATCAACAAGCAGAAACTTGTATTTGGTAGCCAAAGATGTATTCTTTAAGATAATGTAACAAAGTAAAAATCGAAATTTTGATCGAAAATCGTCTTTTGTACGAGGTCGGATACCTTTAATTGTGTTATGACATAGACATATGTCAAAATGAAATTAATAGTCCTTCTGGGCTAACGTCCTTCGTACTAAAAAGGGCTTTTTAATGTAACAATAAACCAATAATATGGATAAAAAATAATTTGAAGCTAACAACATAGTGAAATATAATATTTGTAGAAAAATAAATATATAAAAAGACACTTACTTTCGCCTTTACCAATTTCATTCTCACTATTTTCACTATTTTCACCTGAACCTGAAAAGTGAGAACACTATTTAAGAAGTTTTAAACATGGTTAGCATTGTAAGTTTAAGATGTAATACAAAATTTTCGCTATTAACATACAAATTTTCCAAAGTTGTTTATCCGCCAAAAATAAGTTTGCTCTAACGAATCAATGAAGCGATATTTCAAAATCAGACTATAATTATCAATACAAAATGACATTGCTTCCATTAATGTACACCAAGTAAAAAAAAAAAAAAAAAAAAAAAAAAAAAAAAAAAAAAAAAAGGATAAAATTAAAAACAAAATCTGAAATGTTTCAGATTTTAAATTACGTCCAAAGGGGCGTTTTTTTAACTTTTTGTGTTACCTTTTCTTTATTAAATATCATGTTCCTCGCACTTAAACCATAAGATCCAGTGCAACAACAATATCGCAAAATAGTTTTTTTTAAAACGAGCATATCTTTAGAATTTCCGATACAGAGACTCACGCGCTGGAGATAAAATGTTTTTTTTCTGCACAACGTTGCCATTGCTCGCTTTGAAATCCTTGAGTTTGTTAATCAAAAATTCGTCAAAGTTTTTAAAAATAGGAAATCGATCATAAAACAAATTTCAAATTTTAAATTTGGTCTTCCACATGCTCATATTCGTTGGAGGATTACGTTATTCAAAATTCGATGACTCTATGTACCGTTGTTTTAATCACAATACGAGAAATATACATACATTTTATGCAGATTTTTCATTATTTAATTTCTTCAAATATAATGCAGGACTCTAACATTTTGTGGCAACAGTTTGAAAAATGAACCGACATTTATGAGTCTGACGCAAAATGCCAAAACGAAACTAATAGTCCTTCGGGATTCAAATCCCTTTGGACTAAAAAAAAAAAAAAAAAGGGAAGAGAGAGAGGGGGAAGGGGAATTATTCTACATCTCCTGTTTTACCGAATCAATTGATGAAATTCAGCTTACATTTTTCATGTCTTGGGTAGCATGACTTAATATATACATATACACTAGATTTATTTATAGCATTAAATTCTAACACAGGTATTTTGACACAAAATCAAACTATTCCTGAAATGACATAGGGATTTTTCACCCATATTTTGGTCATACGCCTCAAATTATGCCAAAGGGCCAAATTTTGCAGAAATGACCGAGTATTTTTTTTTAAAAATTACATCTCAAAATACTAACTCCTCAACGTTAATTGAATTTGGTATATATTTATTAATATCTTATTTATTAAACTTACTTGATTCCTTCTTTTAAAATTCAAAATTTAGGTTCAATCTAAATAAAATTCACACATTTTTGGTGATTTATTCTTAAAATTTGTACTTCGAAATAATTTTTATAAATTTTTCGAAAAAATTTTGAATTATAACATATATAAAATTTTAACCGTCATCTGACAGTAGATGTTTTTCGACGCATACCAGCAAAAAATTAAGAGTTTTTCATTCAAAATTTCCTAAGATACATGTGAATTTATATATTGATGCATTCTGAAATTTGGAATATTTCTTATTAGCAATACTAACGTTGAGGAGTTAGTAGTTTATGCATCCTTGTTACAATCTTCAACGAAACGCAAAAGTTATTTTGGACTTCAAATTTCCGAATAAACTGTTATTCATCTGTAATTTTTTTATTGTCATTTTTATTAACAATGCCTAATAAATATTTATTCATAATATGAAAATCTGATATTTAAATTTATAAAGAATATTAATCAAAAGTTTAAAGGTTTTTTTTTTTTTCTTTCATAAAAATAAATTTTTTACTTTCACCATTTTATCGTTTGCTATTTTACTTAACATCATTTTATATGTAATGAAATTTATCGGGTTGTAACAAAAGTTCTCCGCCAAAAAACGTACTTAATAAAGCAAGGGAAAAAAAAAAAAAAAACATGAAAGCTGTACCTTTAGTGCAAGTAGTAATCACCATCCAAATCTATGATTTTCTGCTAACATTTTGGAAGTTTTTCAAAGCTGTCGGCCCAGAAACTTGGTGGCCTCAAGTCCAAAAAATAGATCAACCTCATTTCGGAAGTCTCCAGTGGTTGCATACTGATCTTCTTCTACAAGTTCTCGCAAGAGGACCTCAACATCAGTAGGCTGGGCAGAACGCTCTGCTTTTTGAATGTCATAGCCCTTGCTTTTGAACATTCGGTACCAAACCTTCATAGTGTCAAAATGATACAGCATTAGTACCTAAAATTGCACACATGATTTGTGACATTCTGTAGCTGACGTTTTGCAACAAAACTGGAAGCAAATGATGGTTCTAATCTGATAGCATGATAGTTCCATTTCAGACACCTTGTAATTAATGATAACGATATTTTTTACATATTTCATAACACAGTGTTCTAAAGCAAGTCTCTTTCTTTCAAATGCCAAAAATTGTTTGACGGAATGTGATTAAACAAGCTAACGCGAACTGTTTGTGCAGACGATATTTGCAGTGGCGGGAAATTTTCGCTTAAAGCCCGATACTAGATCTCTTGGTAAATGTATCACTAGAACATTAAAAATTTATGAGAAATATTAGATCTTGCTAAAAGGCATTAATAGTGGTAGCTTGATTACGCATATCTTTCAGGATGTTTCATATACAAGTAGGATTTAATTCTTGTATTAAAGCATGTTGAATATTTTATTTTGAGAATTTTTGCTCTTTGAGAATGAGGTATAAAGCTAGTTTTTGGATAAAGATAATGTACCCACTCACAATACTGAAGCTCTCACCATAAACTTTTGTATATTATTTTGTAAAATATTAAAATTAGGAATAAATCTATAAGTTCAGTATTTAAGAAAATGAAATCTATAGCCATTTCTTCTTTAAATTTTAAGAATAAGTATAAATTTATATTAAGAATTTTAAGAATAAATATAGCCTTCCCGCCATTTTTTCGCCTTAAATTCGAAGCTAATAAGTATAGCTTCTTTTCTTTGAAGACATTCAGTTTGCTATATTATTCAAAATTATGTACATTGTACATAAATAAATAGTTTCATAGATCGAATCGTTGATCATTTTAGTTACCGATTTTGGAAAAAGGAAAAAAAAAATTGTCAACCTAATCCATATTCTCACTCTAAAGGGGCAATTTGCTCAGAAGGACTATTGTTTCGGTTTTGCGATTTTGCGTTGAATCACTATAAATGTCCGTTTCACTTTTCAAACTGTTGCTACCCAATGGTAGGAGTCCTGCATCATATTTGAAGAAATTAAATAACGAAAAATCTGCATAAATGTATGTATATTTCTCGCATTGTGATAAAACAACGGTACATAGAGCCATCGAATTTTGAATGACGTAATCCTACTGCAAATATGGGCATGTGGAAGCCCAAATTTCAAATTTGAAATTTGTTTTATCGATTTCCTATTTTGGAGAACTTTAACAAATTTTTTAATTAACAAACTCAAGGATTTCAAAGCGAGGAAAAAAATTTTTATGTCCAGCGCGCGAGACTGTGTATCGGAAATTCTAAAGGATATGCTCAGTTTAAAACTATTTTGCGATATTGCTCTTGAACTGAATTTTATGGTTTAAGTGCGAAGAACGTGATATTTAATGAATAAAAGTAACAGGTAAAATGTTAAAAAAAAAAAAAACGCCCCTTTGGACGTGATTTAAAATTTAAAAAACGTAATTAAAAATTTTAAGGATGTAATCAGATTTTCTTTTTTTAATTTAAAAACTGAACTACGGCAAGTTCTGCATCTAACACGTTCGTTGTAAGTTCAACGTGTTTTCTTTAATGTCTACAAATATCTCTTTATGCAATTGATCTGTTTCTTCCGACCAGATCTTCGGCATTTCAAATCATGCCTATTTCATTCATCACACGTTCTGAAGAGTAAGGTCTTACTCAACCAAAGGATGAAATGTTTTCCCTCTTTCGCCGGAAATATGTAAATATTTTCTTTCCTAAGATCAAAGGATACTTCCCCTTTGACATATAATACATACCCGATGTTTCGCTTCCTTTATCAGTTTATGCTCTGGCCCATCTGCAAACCTCAAAAACTACACGCTAGACAGGAATTTCAAAAGATATTTTGAAGGCAAGATAAAATTCTAAGTAGAAATACTTTGAAGAGTTTATTTATACAGAAGGCATAGAGTTTTCTTTCATATATTAGAGAACTCTGATGTAAATTCAGCTCAATGCAATAAATATTTGAGTCAATATTTACGCAGATACTATCCCAAATTTTCCACGCTGACAGTTTCAAACAAATATAGTAATTATTTTAATACAGCTTAGAAAATTCTTTTATACAAATGGGCCCATTAGCTGTCGAGCGGTAAAATCGCTGAATACTGTTAATTCGGTCCGGGGTTCTAATCTCGGCAAACGGCCTGGCTGCATGGGCGTTTTCGAGTTTTTTTTTTTTTTTTTTTTTTCATGTGTAATGCGTGTAGCGCCAGTTTACCTTTGAAAGTCCACCATGAAGGCATCCCTCCCCTTAGGCAGATAGGCCTCGTGTGTTTTGCCATAGTCAAATAAACCAAACGTTTCATACTAATGTCTTTAAATCTCCCCGATTAAAATAAGTTAATAGATTCTGTTATACATATTAAGTTATTTGAGCCAGTTACTGAGCTGGAAATTATTTCAACTCTAAAATAAATCCCTTTAAACGAAAATTCAGATTTTAACCGTTGCGCAAAAGAGTTTGTTAAGGTTTTTTATGCTTTCGCTGAGCTCTCAGTCTACCAGACAGCTCTTGCAATCACTCTTACTAACCCCTTTCTTTATTTTAATATTTTTACCTTCATTATTAAATATCATTTTCTTCGTAGTTACGCCAGGTTCAGTTAGACAACAAAAGCACAAACTTTTTAAAAGCTGTATAGCAGCATAAGTATAGAATTCCCAATACAGTGTTAAGTGTTAGCATACACGTATACATTTTTTTTTAGTCTTTTCTTAGTTTATCATATCAATATTCCATTTCCTTAATAAGACGGCCAACAATTTATCTTCTCTAT